CATCAAGTTTTCCTACATCCAGATTGAAACCCATAAGGACAATGATCTCATTCGAGAATGGCAAATAATCGGTTGCACAATTCTCAAAAGTTTTAAAGAAATCGGTAATGACTATGAGATACTCCTGTCTCCTGTAGGTACATCGTGCGAATAACCACTGTTCTACCATGTAAATTCATGCTTTTCAAAATTTGTTCCGCAGTGATGATAGAACTCTTTGCTTTAATTAAGTTGTAATGTAAATTATGTTTTACATAAATTCCTACGCCACCACCCCCTGTTTCTGTCATCCTTCCTCCAGAAAGCATTCATGATTACTGGATATACGTGATGATAGCCAAGTTTCTGTAACAGCGATAATGCCATAGTTATTTGACAAAACATGTTCCTTAAAATCAGAAAAGTTATTCGTAATTGATCTAATATTAAAATGCGCAATTTTAAGATAATTCTGTAATGACATCATACAACATAGGAAAAAAATGAGGTATTTGAGTAATTATAAGCCAGGTGAATTAATAGTAGATAATAAACAATTCAATTCAAATTCCAAAAAAAACTAAAACTAAGAACATCTAAATAAAAGCAATGTTCATTAATATAGTAAGCACATTGAAAAAGCAAAAGTAAAGAAAAAACAGTACGGAAAGTACAGTTATTGAATAGCCGCAAACAAGATAGAAATCACAATGGTTAAGTGTACATCATTGAAGTCAGTTATAAACACATTACTATCGTCGGTTTTACGAATTGCGATATGACCATTCCAAATCCATACGTATTTTATGTTGTTTTATTTTGCAAACGATCTAGCCTTTGAGAATAAAATGCCATTTACTGATGTCAATGATTAACTAACAAAGGCTAATTTGCATAGTTCGATATAGGTTACGGCCACGATCGTGTACCATTATTTTCGTCAATATTAATATGTAGATATAGATTGAAATGTACTGAGGAGAACTAATTTTATTTGTCATTGTAGTTCAGTGGTTGATTTGAGGTGAGCGGTCAACACAAAACCCCCTACAAAAAAAAATAAAACTTTTGATGTATAAGTATTAATTTACCTCATTTAACTTTAGGAGTGCTAGTTTTTCCGCTCGCAAAGAAATACCTTGGACTCTGAACGTAGACAATGATCATGAATATTTATGTACAAGGTGACCAAATAAGAATGCGAGGTACTCTGTTTCTAGGAACCTGTCCATCGTAGAGGCTTGCGGTAAAAAAATTATTACTAAAACGGCCACGAGAAACACCTGGAAAGTTTCTGAAATGGCCGCTTCAAAAAACAATCTTCACTTAAACATGTCTAAATGCAAAGTAGCTTCGTTTTCAAGAAAATCTCAACCTCTTTTGCATCCTTATCAATTTAATGATATACAGTTTAAACGTTGTACATCGGTCACGGATTTGGGTATTATATTTGATCTTAAACTACCCTTTATTAAGTTTAATGGTATTATAGTGTACATTTTTGACAACAGGTACGTATAGGATTCTGAAAAAGCGCCTTTCATGTGGCTAGCTAACGGATTGCACTTCTACTTCTATAAAATTTGTTTCACTGTTTAATTTAATACGATAGGGATATATTTCTTGATAGGTTGCAAATAGATAGCGTAACTAGTGGTAACTAGGTCGTTGGGAAAATAAATCAGGAATGGAAATTAAAGTGTAAATCTTTCAGAGGGGAATAAAATTTAATGTTTACGTTCACGACAGTAAAAAATTTTTATAGCTTAAACATTCGCTACATACCTTTATTTCAATTATGACCATGTACCTGATCGATCCCACGGGCAACCTTTTATGTACCCGAGCGTATAAGATTTCAGTCTTCTGTTACGTCTCAAATGTCTCCTGAACGTGCTATTAGTTTTACTTCCATTCCACTCCTTTTTATGGAGAAATTCATAACTCTCGCAAGTTACCGCCTTCACTATACTTTAAGGCTGAAAATGCCGCACTTAGACAAGCTGCTAGGAAAATTGCAGTTGCATTGAAAATCTGTCTCAATTTTTTTAACAACTGAAAAACGTTACCAATGAAAGCCAAAAACCGGTGGGACCTGCATTGAGGATTATGAACATATCTAAAAATTATCATATACAGGGTGTTACACGACCGTTCGAAAAAAAAAATCGGGTTGTAGAGGGCATCAAAACAAGCACTTTTTCCAAATAAACCGAGGGTCCAACGAAATCAGAATTTTTTTTTGCACCCTAGTTTAGGGGTGCGCCCTTTAGGGGTAGGAATTTTGAAAAAAAAATTGCAAAATCGGAAAGAGCATCCCCAAAAACCTATTCAAAGACATGCCACCCGACTTTGTAACTCTTATGGTTGCTGAGAAAAAAATTAAAGAAGAAATGCAGATTTCAACCCTCTTTGGGGGGTGGCTCCCAAACGAAACACGTTGGACCCTCGGTTTATTTGGAAAAAGTGCTTGTTTTGATGCCCTCTACAACCCGATTTTTTTTTTCGAACGGTCGTGTAACACCCTGTATAATACCATAAGTAGTCGAAGTATTGTCGACTATTGCCCTCAGAAAATTTCAATCATATTAATGCAGATTACAGAAATCACCTAGCAACAGACAAATATCCTCGAGTATTCATGCACTTGTGTTGTGCAATACCCGCGGGCATTGCTTATGTGTAAATACCTAAAATGAAACTTAAATAAATAATTCCAAATTTTATTAACGAAAATTACAATTTGTAAAATGGCAATTTGTAACTGAACCCTTGCTTATTTTCGGTTTCATGATGCTTTTTGATAAACCATGTCTTTGAAAGGATCGAAACAAACATTATATTCTTCTTATCTTGCAAAATTTTAGTCGGGCAATAGTTATCCCGTATATCCCTCGTGCACGCCAAATACCAGATCTGAGTATTGAGGTATTTGGCGTGCACTTGGGATATAATACTTGAATATTTTGAGGTGCTGTCACGAATGCTAGCAAGAGTGGAGCAGCAGCTCAAAAATAATCTACAAATACTTCGACTACGAATGGTATTCGGAGGACTATTCAATGAATCAAAAGAAAAATTAAGCATAATTACCCACGCGAATGTATTTCCATGACAACAATAAACGTCAAATAAATTATGGAAGTTGCTTTTCATTTTGCTATTGATTCTATTCGAACTTTTGTGCTCCAAGCTAATTCGTTATGAGTGATTAAATTAAAAGATGTGGTGATTAGTCGGTTGTCGAAATTGATTAACAAACTAAGAAGAATGTTCCGGTTAATACGACAAAATTTCGCGTCATTTCACTGGTGGAAGTTTGACAAATGTCATTGAATAATCGCATTGAATTGTCAGTTAAATCGAATTGCGCTTAACGAAATAAGCACATCCTTACTTGTTAGTATATCATAAAATGCAGTTTTGACCTTAGAGTATGACTTAACAATTGAACAAAACATTTTTATTTTTGAAAATTCACAATTTTATCTGGGAATTAATGTAGAGGTTGTTCAACGACGACCTTAGTCGATTGTTGCACCTGAACACTGATCAAAATATTTCTAGTTCTGAATCGCTTCCGGTTGTACCCTAAATTTCCTCGAACTTACCTTAGTTTTTATTGTTTCTTTTTTAAATCAACGAATAATTTGATATAAAAGCCTATAAATTAAATCTAATGGGTTGTCCAAGTAATTGAACAATAAGCATCATGTGAGTTTTTTAAAAAATTTTCAAAAGATAATCTTTCACAAAATAAACTGCCTTTTAAAAGGCAAACAGAACAGACCCATTATTTTCAGTATTTGATTGAATAAAGCCTAAGCCTTACGTAATATGGAAAAAATAAGGTGCGTCAAGAATGCTCTGGAACTTTTGCCACATTCTTTTGGACTTTTACGCTGGAAACTAAGGACAGTTTGCAATTACAACAAAGTGCCATTGTGTTATAACACAAATCACAAATAAATTTGTTGGTTTATCGTCTTTAGAACTGGAAGAATCTCTATCTTTAAAAATATCAGTGAGTGAGAATTTAAAGCCGATTATTTTGCTTACCAGATATAAATTTAATTTGTTGTTAATACAATTTAGTGAAAGACGATACTGTTTATTATTCAAAGAGCACGACTCCATTTAGTTAAGTTAGGTGCCTACCAAATCCTTTCTTTTCGATGTCAGTTATCTTAAACATTTATAAGCTTTTCAAGATCTGGATGAAATTTTAAATGAATTCTCTTTATTTGTACCTATACATGAATCGAAAAGCAGGAAAGGTAAAAACACACTCTTTGCAATTATTATGGGGATTAATATATTTTATATGAGACAATAAAGCATTTTTATAACCAGAAATTTATATTTTTCTAAAACCAAATTTTTTATACTTGCGAAACGGACGGAATTTCGAAGGTGGTAAAATGATAAAGCTATCAAAATCAAATAAGTACATATAATTACAGTTAACCTAGTTTAGGAATTTATTTTTATTTATACATTATGGCTTTAAATACTATGTCAATATGGTGGACGGTAACGACGTGACCTAAACCAAACCCGATTTTTTTCGGTAATGAGATCTTCATGAGTTTGATCCACATTAATGGCCTTGATATCGATTCCCACAAATTTTAGAAAACGAAAATTAATTGCAATGAGTAACTACAATTAACCTAAATTAATTTGAAATGACACCTAATTGAATTCCATAGCAAACCTTCAGTATATTTGCATTTCATTATTAAATTAACATTTAACCATAATTCAGTATGTTTCTGTTTAACCAATAAGCAAGTGTCAATCTTTGAAGAACGAAGCCTTGAATTTTGTGTAAATTTGTGTTATTTGCCAAATTACCGACAAACTTCCATTTAAGTTCACATTAAGATACTGCTCAATTTTGTTATTCTTTAAGTCAAGGGAAGGGGACGTGTTCTTGTGTCTAATATTCGCGTAAACTTCAATAAGAGTAATGTGTGTCTTGGGAAAGCATATAGGATTTAATATCTGTCAATTTTCAGAACACCACGATGACGGGGCTTGTGCAATATTATAATTATGTGATAAAAGAAAGCTCAGGTGAGATGTTCGTATATTATTCTCTTTTGAAAAAGTGGCTAACTGATTTATATCAGACCCCAGAGTATTTACCTGGCCTTTCATCGCGGAACCTTGGCAGCTTTTGGGAATAATTTCACTGTACTTGTACGGAATTTATATTTTTCTACCATCTTATATGGGCGACAAGAAACCATATAATCTACAAACAGTCATAAAGGTTTACAACATGTATCAAATAATTGCCTGTGTAGTTTTAATTTATGGGGTAAGATCTTAGAATCTCTTGCTGAAATGGAGTCAGTAGCTTATCTTTCAGGTTGCGACGTCTGGATGGACGTCAACATACACCTTGGGGTGTCAGGAAGTAGATTACTCTGAAGATTCATCAGTCTCCATACGAATGGCCAAATTTATGTGGTGGCACATGATTGTGAAAATGTCCGAATTACTGGAGACCATTATATTTTTATTACGACAAAAATCGAGCCAAGTAACAGTTTTGCACGTCTATCATCACGTTTCAACCCTTATAATCGCATGGATAGCTTGTAAATACTTCCCAGGTTTGATCTCATCATAAAACCACACGGATTCCCCTAACGTATTACTCTTTCAGGTGGAATGATTTCTTTCACCGTTTTAATTAATTCATTTGTTCATATTATTATGTACACCTATTATTTGTTGTCTTCGTTCGGACCACACATGCAAAATAGGCTTAAGTGGATTAAACGAAAAATAACCATCATTCAAATGGTATGTAAATTTGGATTAATTGAGCTGCTCGGTTTACTCTAAATAATTACAGGTACAGTTGGCGATTATTTTAGCGCACACTGGACAAGTTTTACTACCATCGTGTCGTGTTCCCAACATTGTCGCTTATATTTACTTACCTAATGTATCCATAAATATTTTCCTTTTCGCCAGGATGTACTTTGAGACTTACTTTAAGAAATCTAAAACTGTGTAGTAAATTAGGTTTATGTACCTACTACTTTTAATCTTTAAGCACCCGTTGGATTTTGTTCTAGTAACCACAGCTTTAATTCGACTAGTAGTTAATTAAAGCAGTAAAAAAAATAGTGTGTTTTGATGAACCCTCATAAACTAATTCGATACAATGATCGCGCACGAAATATCCCTATTTCTACTACAATCTGAATTTTTAGGTCTATTTATCCCTAATAATCAATTTTAATAATCAATACGAGTATAATTTGCCGGTGTTTTAATTTTATAATCTCTAAACACGTTAGAATCATCCATCCTTCGAATATGTCATAAGATAAATAAAAGTTATAGTTCCTCCAAAAATTAATGCATTTATTACATCGCGTCAACAACATTTTTAGTACCGCTAAAATATTCTTTCGTGAGAGTGGTCGATTTGTTCAAAACCGCAATCACTATAATTGCGGCTCGCAACTGCAGTAATGTGCACTACTGCATTGTCATGTTGCAAATGCACGCTTCTGGTCAATTTTTCACGTCTTTTCTTCTGAATATTCACAATATACACTTTCATTTTATTCATCCTCAAATGGTTGTGGAGGATTCGGCGAACTGTTGCGCCAGAAAGCCTAGAGAAAGCCTTTCTGCTATTTCTTTTATCTTTAAACGTTGATCGCCTAACACGAGGTTTTCAACAAGAGCGATGTTTCCATAGGTCATGACATGCATCGTCCTCCCTGTTCCGCGGTCTCCTTCCAAGAATTCCCACCCCATTAAAAATCGTTGGGTCAATCTTTCACTACAAAGTAAGACGGTGAATTTTCCCCATACGCTCCATCTAACCGATCTTTCCTGTATTTATTTATTTATTTATTTTGAGAAGAAACACCTTCTCGAGTAAGGAATTTTATCACAAATCGGTTATTCTTGACGGTGTGCGGTCAATTTGCGCCCTTGCAATTCGCTCTCGCACAATTCGGACCCGGACAATTCACACCCGAACAATTCGCTCGCAGAACAATTCGCTGCCCGAAAATTGGGTCTCAGAAAATTCGATCCAAGAATAGATGCTATTTTTGACGTCTCTAAATTATCGGAAGCTTTACAATGGCTTCTGCAATAAAATAAAGTTTTGTATTATGCACGCCGATGAAGGGAAACTAACCATATCGTGAAAGTTAATTCATTCAATCCTTAAAATATTCCTTTATCGTCTTGTATAATATAAATAACTATTGTTAAGACAAAGAAAAAACGAAAACTTGCTGATATGTAGGTACACGGTTGAAAATTGCACATCCTTAAGACGCTTTTTACAGGTAATCCTGTTGGTATCACCAAACACCCTCAAGAAATAGGTACTTCAACCTATGAAATAACTATTAATAGCGCTAACGCTTTGAAAACAAATGGCAACAGGGATTATTTGTCAACACCCAAAGATTTATCTCAAAAAGGTGTCTTAATGATGTACAATTCTTTCTATTATACATTAAACATCAAACCGATTATGGTATTTATGCATTTTCATTGTGTCGCGTTCATGCAGACAGGGTATTATGTATGGAATTGAGTTTGATTACGATGAAGAGTGCGTTTGAAGAAAAACTACAAGAATTAATTCTCCGAACGAAAGACCATTTAGGTACCTACTATTTGATTGACATCAACACATTCAACAAATTTTAATCATTTGACGTTAAATTTTGCAAGCAAGCAATTTCTAGAAAATCAAAGTAGTCCATTGAAATGGTCATATTTTTGGGCTTAGCGTGCGGTTGTCAGAGGACGCAATTTTATTTTTTAGATATCAAGGAGGGGTTAGTCTATAGTTAAATCCAAGTTTGTGGGGTTGTAGCCCTTGTCCCGCGGTCGCCATCTTGAAAAATGGTGTGCAAATGGTTTTTATGGTTTATCTGATAAACTATTGGTCTCCCAAAAAATTTGTTCAGACATTTTTGAATAAGAATAAAATTCTCTACAACTTTTAGTCGTATAACCAAAAGTAACAAAGTTATAAACGAAAATTGATGAACATTTTCTAAAAAATTTTCAATTGGTCGTTATAACTTTTTTTCTCGTCATTTTACAAAAAAATGACATCAGGCCATTTTTATAGAGGAGTTTTCAAGGAATGATTTTCATTACAAACTTTTTCGGTTTTATTCATTCATTAAGATTTTATAGGTCTTTTTGATGGACCAGGCTGCGTTGGAATTGAAAACAAGTTAAATGTACCTACTCTTTGTCACTGATTTGGCGAATCGTTTGTATTTAATGCTGTTAAAAGAATCATCATCTTCATTGCCACCATATAAAAAGATGAAACAATGTTCACTAATGACAGTGAGCAAAGCAGGATCGAGGAACAACGCTATTCCACTTGCTAACTCTGGATGTTTCTCCAGTGTTATGAGAAATTTTAGTTTGCCAGTGTTGTGAGCTGATGATGTTGCGTTACGTCCTGAAAAAGCATGGAGAAACAGCAAATTATCCGCAATGACGTTTTCGTGCATAAAACCTGACGGAGAATACAATTGCTCGGCTGTACGTCCTTTCCACGGTTTAAAAAAATAGATTTCTTTGCTCCAAAAGTCGTGAGCAACACAAGTATGTCGATATCTTCAACTACAATAGTAACTGAGTCCAACGATTGGGATACAGCAAAAGCAGAACGAACGATGAGGGGGTCTGCACCTGAGAATGAATTTTTGAGAAGTACAATGAAATTAGCCTTGTTCTTCTCATTGCCAAGAAATTTTTCTTGTGATAACGTCAGTACGGCGCGGCGTTCTTATCGAATTGTACTTCTGTCGACTGATGTTTCTTCGTGCGACGCAAACGGTGCCAAGACTTACCTAGTTCCTGCGACATCGGGGTATTCTGAGCAGCCGTCTCGTAAAGGCAACACTAATACGTAGATGTTCTTTTATCCCCACACGGTTATTATCTTTTATCCCTGCACAGTATCCTCGAAAATGAACACTCTGATTTTATGAATCTAGAGAATTGTATTCGTTTCGTAGCGCTGTAAAATCTTAATTAATGAATAAAATTGAAAAACTTTGTAATAAAAAATATTCCTTGAAAACCCCTCTATAAAAATGATCTGAGGTTATTTTTTTGTAAAATGACCATAAAAAAAGTGGTAACAACCAATTGAAATTTTTTTACAAAATGTTCCTCAATTTTCGTTTATAACTTTGTTACTTTTGGATATACGACTAAAAGTTACCGGACCAAAGTTGTAGAGAATTTTATTCTTATTCAAATATGTCTGAATAAATTTTTTGTGAGACCAATAGTTTGTCAGATAAACCATAAAAACCATTTGCACCCCTTTTTTCAAGATGGCGACCGCGGGACAAGGGCTGCAACCCCACAAACTTGGATTTAACTTTAAACTAACCCCCCCTTGATATCTAAAAAATAAAATTGTGTCCTCTGACAAACGCAACCCCAAATGTAACTTTTCAATGGACTAAAGTTCGAAGTCAATTTCCACAGAAATCTAAAGAAGAGAAATTTCTTGTAAGTAGGTACATTACCGTAAATTCATCTCAGAGGGGACAGCCGTAGGTCCTTTATAAAAATGTCAAGTCATATCTAAAAAAATTTCTGTGGCTAGGTACCAAATTTGGTTCCAAATCATCGAGAGTTTGTTTGATTCAGATTCCTGGTCTTTAAAACGTGGGGGGTCATTTTTTACCCCAGTGCATTATACCTTCCTTTACTAACGTACGGGAGGTAAAAAGTGCTACTGATTTACTAATTTGATCTCGAATTTGATACATATTTCGTGAAATAAGCACTATTTTACGATAAAATCCTCCCATTTCTCCGAATAGTATCTCCTGGTGTTTGTTTCTGCATTTGTGAGGTTATACGCAGCTTTACGACTCACACAGAGGACATCGGAAAAATGCGTGAACTTCCATATAATAGGTCAGGAGGGTCAGTTCGAGTTGCCACTATTCGTCGCACGTAAATTATAATCCCAGCCTTCAGGACCTTGCTAAACAAACGTTGTAATAAACAAACACGCGATTGAAGATTTTACAGTTTAATTTAGGTCAATTTTGACCCTTTATGCGGGAAAGTTTACACGCAATACCAGTTCCAGGAAATTTGGTTTGTTGTTTTATCCGGAATTAAACAAATTACAGCTTGCATGTGTAATTAGTGGAAGGTAAAAGCCTTATACTACTGGACTATATTGATAGCGAGTGATAATTACAGCTATATGTGTCGTTAATGAGAAGGGAAAATAATTGTTATGCGCTATATACTGTAGAAGTGCGAAGTGCTTGCACGCAATATCGCAAAATGTCGATTTTTGATTACCTTTTTGTAGATATTGCTGGTAAGTATTGACGTCTACTTACATCATTCTTTCATTACTTTTTGTACAGATCCTAGGGTTCATGATTGGCCGTTTATGTCAAATCCTTGGAAAATTATTGCAATTATAGGAATTTACCTATATATGATATATGTATATTTACCGTCTTTCATGTCAGATAAAAAACCGTATAGTTTAAAGGGGATTATTGTGGTTTACAATATTTTCCAACTATTCGCGTGCATCACAATTATTTATGGTGTAAGTAAGTATTTTATTATTGTCCTACAGCGTTATTAATCTAAATGTTATACATTTTCCATCTTTGCCAAAAAATAAATAATTAATAACAAAGTTACTAAGCTCAATGCAAGTGACTGTATCCTCGATAAAAATACGGAAAGAAGAACATCTTATCTAAAGTCACACACAAAAGAACGAAACAGCACAGATGTTCAACTACCACCATGTGAATCTAATGATTTTTTTTGCAAAATGTGCAATGCGTTTGTATTGCAGCTAGCTACATCAGGATGGACCACCCGCTATCGCCTAATCTGCGAACCAGTGGATTATTCAGAGAATGCGATGGCAGTTCGTATGGCAAGCTACATGTGGTGGACCCTACTGCTGAAGATGACAGAATTACTCGAAACGATTATATTTGTACTTCGAAAAAAGTATAACCAAGTTTCTTCTTTGCATGTCTACCACCACATTTCCACCCTATCTGCGGCCTGGATAGTGTGCAAATACGTTCCAGGTAAACTTTAAGCCTTGAAAGTACCTACCAATTTTGAAAATTCTGTATGTAGGTGGTTTAGTTACGTTCACGCCGATTGTTAACAGCTTCATACATATCTTTATGTACTCGTACTACTTGCTGTCGACACTGTCACGAGGTCCCAAAATGCAGAAAATTTTAATGTGTGTTAAATCTAGACTAACAATGCTCCAACTCGTGCAGTTAGTCATCATAACGTTACAATCAGTGCAAATATTTCTACCAGGATGTGCTATAAGTAACGTTATCGGATTTCTAGGTTCGGCAAATGGTGTCATTAATGTTCTGTTCTTTATTCACTTTTACAATAAGAATTACGTCAAGAAAAAAATGCTACAAAGTAAGTGACTTGTGTAGAAACCCATTTGATGTAGCCATTTTGCTAAAATAAAACGTATGTACAAGAAGTTTGTGTTCGTGCGATTTTCATACGATTTTGCGACCTATACCATCGCTTAAAATATATATGTACGTAGCAGAAGTAGTAAAAGTATAAAGTAAACTACGAAAATATTTTCTTAGAATAAAAATTAACATAAAACAATTAAAGGAACAAATAAATAAAACAATTTGATGATTAACCTTAATCAGTACCACAAAGGCTAATCAGATAGCTTCTGTGAAAATAATGCTCATTTTCTGTATACTAGCAATTATGGCGGTGAGCTTGGTTATATTTTTGCCTAACCTCAATCCTCAATTGTGTATTCTGTATTGCGTTAAAGCTACCTCCTATATAAATGAACATAATCGTTTTAATGGAAGCTATATCGAACGAATTTATATACTATTCAGTGATTTTTATGGTAGTTCTTAAATTGAAATATGTTCTCTTATGTTTTGTTTAGATCATGCGTACTATGCGGAGAAAAGTTGCATTTTTTCACTTGTTTTCGTTGCTTACTGCGCGAACGGATCAAATTTAAAATTTAAAAAAAGCGCAATCTATTTCCAGAAATAAACAAGGTTATGTTTATAGAATTACATTATTGATTTATAGGCGACATAATACTCCAGTGTTGTAAGTCAAAAATTATACGTTACGTAAAAAACCTCGGATACACTATAATTAAGGACACCGCCAAAAACAATTTATTTGCGTTAGTTTGTAGTACGCACGCGATTCCGTTAGAAAAATTAGGTTCGTGTATTTTGACTATCTTTCACAATTGGTTATGGAAAACGCAGTCTCTATTACTGAATATGTCAGATCTTCTTAGTGTGTACATATCTCTCGAATTTATAAATGAATTGTCTTGTCTGAGTTACATTACTGCCTTCGAGTTAGGGGAAGTTTTTATTTGAGAGAAAGCAGGGAAGTATTTTTCTCAAAGGGACACCTTCTGAAAGATTTTCACTTGCTCGTAAATGCACACGGGTCGATTCCTCGATTCCCAGTTTGGATGTTGCTCTCCTAAAGTCCTAACGGGAATGATGCGGTTCAGGTCTGCGTCAGTTGTGTTTGAGAGATATGCGTAATTATGTTGCAAAAAAAACAAAAACACCAATAAAATATTCAAGCTAATTAATATGACAGCCAGATGTGTATATGCTTTAAAAAGCTATTTTAGATGCATAAAATTAGGCGCCCTTCAGAAGAAATTTTGTCATTTAAAAGTAAACACAGAGAAAACAATAAACATAAATCCCTATATCTATACTTCTTAATAATTCATTCATTGAATCTATTGGAGGGTTAATTAAACTTGAAACATACGATAGTCGTTCAACATTATTATAAACCAGAAGATTAGTACCGCTACTCAAAGAGAGCATGCAAGTTGTAGGTACCTATTATGGGAACTTTAAATAACTCTTTCATGCTAGAAGAGATTTTTCATTTACTGTGGATATTCTTAGTGTTGAAATTATTTGTGAATGAATTGCTGCCATTTTAATTTATAATTATCTTCTGTTACAAATAAATCAAAAGTAAGTGCAAAAAATATTGTATATACCTACCACGGGACCAAAATTAATGATACACCTCGATCCTTTGGTATACTAAATAACTATTATTATAAATACTTCTCTTATTTACCATACCTATCGAATACATCCCAATCCGCAAAATTATCTACCGCCGGCAACGAAATAACATTAGGTACAAGGTAAGTTTACTTAAGCAAAGTTGACTTTAAATGACAAGTGCGCTAACGGCTAAATGTGACACACATCATCGTTTAATGAGAGTTTTAAAAGAAAAAGCTTATTACCAACGTCCTCGTGAAACCAATTCGCGTTAACATAAGGTACCGTTTTTTGCATTATTAACGAATTGTGCGCAATTACCTCCGTAAGTAATGCAATTTTTTCGTTATTTTGTGTATTTATTGAGGTTATGTCACAAAAAGTCACAATTTGAGTTTAGATATGCGCGGCCTTTGAAATTAAGGGCTGAAATGTCGATTTCATTTAAGATTCGGCCAATGGATGTATTGCAACATCGCTAAATTTTTTGACATTCTGGTATGTAATCCAGTTCTGTTAATGACTCCTTTGAGTATCTACACAAAATGTTTAGCATTATTTTACCATATCTATTGAGTTATTTACTTTATAATGAACTACGACTTGCCTCAAGGGATTCACTTTTCTTTCACTAAAAAACGCCCAAAAAGGTTATGTATCTATTTCTTAGTAAATTTATTTTTGAAATATGAATCCATCCAATGATCGTATTTATCATACCGGTTCATGATGGATATTTATATCTCCGTCCTTTGAATGTGGCCGCTAACATCATTAATAACATTAAGGTAACATGAATTACCTAGTTCATACAGGGGCATCCCCCTAGGGTGCGGGTGCTCTGCGTTGCAGCACAAAAACGGAAACCAATTACAATACAGTTTTTTTTAAATTGCAGCTGACAATTAAAAGGACCAAAATATACAATCCAAACGAGGCGCGTCGCCTATTATTGTATTTTAGCACTTTCATACTACGACAAAAAATGATAAATTCATTGCAAAACACTACAATTAAAACAGAATTTTTAAATTTTTTAACAACCTAACATCAACCCCAATTAGAGAAAGGTGTTAATAATTTATTAATAGTGCAAGAAACTAAATACAGCACATACTTATAAATTTCGAACGGGCCATTATGACGTACAGGCCAGGTGTAAATCGCCACCCCCCCCCCGGGCCAGTCCGCCCCTGGCCGTACTGTTTAGGGACGTAAACTGTTTGAGCAGCAACCCCCCTATGCAATTACGCACATACCAGTAATGGAACCTTTAGTGATAGCCTCGCCAAGTACGTGAGATCAAAAATTTGTTGCTGTCGAGTTACTTTTGGAATTTTTGTTTACACGGAAAACCGTATGAAACATGAACTTCCAAAGGGGACTCGATAGTCACTCATTTTTGATTGCCTGTTATATCGTATTGTTGGCTTAACATCGTGTAAATTAAGGCCTGATGGTTTTGGTATGAGCAGTATTGTGGCCTTATTTTTTTTGTCTTGATGATAGTTGCACCATTGCTACTCTGCTCTAACCTGAATTGCGACGAGAAAGTATACGCTGAAGAGAGGAAATTCTTATATGTGACCTAGTCACCCTCGAAACAGATGATAATCTACACTCACGAAGACGTATATTCGTAGCGTTATAATCAGTAAATAGCAAGATAACTGGGACGAAAATACAACCCAACTGCGACAGTCTGTAAAAAAAATGAATATATTCAGTAGCACCAGCAAGAATGAATGAAGTATCTGCTCTTAGGAAGAGATGCTCTCGTATTCCCACAATGTAAACAAAAAGCAGTAAAGCACTACCGCAAAGCAGAGTGCCAGTGCTCTGAATGTCAACGTGAAGAGAGGACGCGCTGTTACGTGCTCTCCGAAAAGTTTAAAATTCATCGAGAATAGTGGTTGGGGGGTTCGCAAACCCCCTATTTTTGTTAAAAGTGATACCTCCGCTGCTGTTCGGTAGTGAGTGCTGGCCGGCAAGATAAGCAAGATATTTCGCAGTAGTGCGGTGCACGTGTAATTTAAACTCTTACGCGCGCGACTTGCGGAAAGTAAGTGCACAACTCTCCGCCGTCTTCTACATTTAATCCGACAAGGTAAATAGTACACAGACCAACATCCATTATTAATTATTAAACGCAAAAATCGCCTTTTAATTGCAGCCTTGTCGGATTCACGTGTAACCGCACATCGCAAATTATCCGCCGTTTGACCTTTAGGTCAAATTCCATCACCATATCTATACCTGCATAAATAGATATCGACCGGCCAACAGAACAATAACACCGAGATGCACAAGAAGAGTACCGCCCACCAACGACGCGCAGGGGCCGGCTCGTCGAAAAAATATGGGTGAGGCAAGCGCTAACTTTGCCGCCCGAATGAAAAGGGCAAAAGGTTTTTTGTTTGTTAATTGGTTCTTTAATACAAGTACCACCAAACAACGAGAAAATTAAATAAAATCGTAGCAAAAAAGGGCGTTTTTTGATCGCTGATAAAAAATTTTCTATGGGGCCGATTTTGTTCGTTTTTTTTATCGACGCAGAATTTTGTTTAATTTAATCAAAAGTGTTATTCATAAAATATGGACCGTTTTCGAGTTTTAAGCGAAAAACTGAAAAAAGTCCGAATATTTTGAGGTTTTTTGGCTGCCAAAAGTTGTGTCGGGAAAAAATTTGTGTGTACTCTTCCAATACATGTTATTTGGACCCAAATGGACCATTTAAAACAATAAAATCTTTTACACCACCTTTTGCAGGTCAAAATTATATAACATACTGGACTATCAGTATTTCAGTAGCAAGTACGATAAACTAATAAAAAAAAACCATGCTATCCTATTACATATATCGCAAATTAGTGGCCTGGCTATATTTTACAATCGCTTTCAGTAAATTGACATTACAAAGATTTATTATTATACTACATTATTATAATAAAACATTTTTTTATATTTTTAAATTTCAAAAATGCCGCCCCTAAAATTATGCCGCCTGAGGAGGCCGCCTCGCCGCCTCACCCCACGAGCCGGCCCTGACGACCGGCGCGTCTCTGTTTCCGGATCGCGCGCGCCCCGTGGCCCCTCGTGTTCGGCCCATTACGCGTACCAGCCACGGTTTGTCGAGTTCGTCCTCCCGGACACCAGACGGAGGGCCCCGCTCCCCGACGCCGAGAACCTCACAAGTGTGCAAGTGCGGCACGGCCTTGCCAGACGAAGGAGGGGCGGGACGTTGGGCCAGGCACCGTTTAAGACTGCGGGACCAGGCGCCAGGAGGTGTGCATTTACTGCGGAAACCTTTCCACCACATGCCGGCCGTTGCACCAGCACGAGAACCCGGATCACCCGGGAAGCAGTCTCTGCAGGACATTAGAAAAGGAAGGCCAAAAACCCTCCGAGGCGGGGCTTTAATTGCCACAATAGCAAAGTCGAAGTCCACCGTTTAGGGGGGGTTTTCAACTACAAGGAAGCATGGCGACAACGGGTCTGACCAAAACATCAATTCCGTCATCTCCCGGCAGCAAGCCGAGTTATTTCCAGCCTACTGGAAGGCGGCGCCATTCAGCGAGCGGGCAGAGGTTGAACCAAACCCACCTTCGGGTTTCACGGCCACCAACTCGCGCGAAAGCCTGGCACCAGAGCCCTCAAACACCTTTGGCCACCAGTTGCTCCCGAGCCGGAATCGATCGCCCTCCCTCCGTGCCAGCCTGGTAACCCCACTCAACCGTCAACTAAATCTTGGACTACGTTTTGCCAAACCCTGGACCGCGGCAAACCGGACCATCTGAGTGCCGCTCTTCAGCGGATGTGCCCGCACCAAAGGGACCAAATGCGCGGATTTCGATCCCCGCCCGCACCAACCACCGACGACACGGCCCCGGCTTCAGGACTCTCCACCTTGCGCACTCCAACACCTCCTTGCGCCAAGTTCTCGGGGACAAAACGCAAGAGGGATTGCTCGACTCCCACTCCCACCTAGGAGGTCCACCGACGCAGGAGACGGTAAGCCGTTGCCCCCCCCCCCCCCCGCCGCCATCGAGGTTCTCGCGCCATCGCGCTCTGCGACGTCACCCTGCCTACCATCACCGGCCGTTCTCCCCGGGAGGGGCGATATAATTACCACCGATCCAGCCGAGGAACTTCCGAGTCGCGACATGCTTCCACCACGACTCCGAGAGGATGCCTCCTTCCTCGCCCGGCTGCGTATTTTAAAGAGCGGGGCCGGTGAAGCAACGACCGAGAGGCTCCTCCATGCTGCCTTATCAGGCACGATTCCAGACCTGGAGAGTGCCATCCAGGCGTATATGGAAGTCCGCTTTCCTGTCCGACAGAGGAAGCCGCCTAAAACACACACTAGGCCCATACCACCACCGCCACCAGCACGCTACGACGAGCATCTCAATTCGCCAAGGCGCAAGATCTCGATATTAGACGGCAAACCTCTGTCGGCCGAAGAGGCCTCTCCCCCAATGGCCGACGTCGAAGGCTTCTACAAAGCCATTTTCACCAGGCCATCACCTCCGGACCAGGAGCCAATTCAAGACAACCCGGAGCCATCCAAGGCGGTATACGTCCCAGTCACGACCGAAGAGATCGAGGCCGCCAAGCGCGGTTGGTCCAACTCCGCGTCATCACGATCTCGCAAGTGCGAAACTGCCCCGCCAAACATCTCGAAGCACTCTACAACGCCTTTTTATACCGGCGTTATACTCCAGCTTAATGGCGCGCCTCGCGAACGGTCCTTATCCCCAAGGACGGTGACAGGAGAAGTCCCGAAAAGTGGCGTCCCATCACTATAGGGTCCGCGCTGCAACGTTTGCTGCATCGCATTCTAGCCAAACGTCTAACGCGCGCGGTATCTTGGAACCACCACCAGAGGGGCTTTATCCACCAAGAGGGACACCTGGCCAAGCAGAGAAATTAAATAAAGATGAAGTAAACCCACAACATTGAGGGAGAACTTGCTATGTTACTCAAGGAAAACAACTTTGGAAAGTTAATACAGTGCCTAAAAGACATTAGGTAATATAATCAAAGAAATCTAATGGAATTATTATTGGTAAAATAAAGGATGACAATTCTGGAATATAAGCAGTATTATCTACATACCTCACTTGTCTAGGACTATAACAATTTATTGTGCACATACACTAAATAACACTAGCAAATAAAAAGATACAAAATATACAAATATAAAAATATCACAGTTTATTTTTACAATAAATCAACAAATTGTACAGGACTTTTAACTAGGTACGTACCTACTTTATCACCATACAACGGTTTCTTTGATATTGGTAGTTGGTAATATCCAGTTACCTAGATCTTTCGTTAATTTATGAATAAATATCCTACATCGTCCATTTTCTTTCTAAAATGTCTAATCTAATTGCATACTTACTTTTAGATACTGTTGAAGGCACTCCGGAGCAAAATTGGGCTGGAATATTCCTAAACAATACAAACGTAACCATTGTTGATAAAATAACTAGGTAAAGAAATAATTCTGTAAATTTTTTTGTACGTCAAATCCACTGTGGACCTGGTTCCACTTTCCAATAAAAGAACTCCAGTCAGAACCCGAAAAAGAAAAGTTGCGAACTCTATTATTCTTACCGAAGGTCCATATAGGAATGAATTACTTTTCAAAAAAAAAGGAAGCTGGGAAAATTGTTCTCAAGAGACCTTTGGGTTCCAAAAAAGAAACCCCATAAGGAAGATGATACAGTGAGTGCATATTCTGCTGATGCGAATTGTTTTTGAAAACAGGCGGCGTTTGAATTTGATTGTATGACGAAGTTGGGCGCATGAAGAATGTGCAGGCACCATTAAAAAATGTAAGATTTTTGCGGTAACTGCAAATAAATAGTTTTTGTACTTTGATCTGTGTGTGCTCATACGAGTATACCTTTCCTGTTGCTAATACCAGCATATTTACGGTTATCTTTGGATGATGTATGCAGCTAATTTGGAATTTGTAACTTAACATTAATAGGCCACTAGTAGTCTTTCCAAATAAAGGTTTTAACTATAACCCAAATTACAATGATTATGAAATAGCAGTGCTTACGCTTATGATGCTCATAATGTACGCCACAGTTACCCTACCCACATATTATGTATATGAACGAAAAATAACAACATAATTGTAAAAAATTGTAACTTTGTTTTACGGTTTGTACTCGTACAATGTGAACAAGTCACATTAGAAATTATTTACATAAACTCTAAACTTTCTCGTTTCGGTGGTGACCGCCAAATCTTTTCGCAAGTTTGTATATAGACAACTGGTACCTATTAATTATTATTAGGAAGCTCAAATATTCCTATGTAATATCCGTTTAATTACCATTTATACTGATGAGCCATAATTTCAATTATTACACAGTGAAATGAGTAGTGGTATGCAATTGATGTGACATTTTTTTTTCAATTTTAGGAACACGAAGTGTCTGTACATCCATTTAGTGAAAAAATGTCGACTTCACTGTATGATTATCTCTTCGTTGAACTTGCGGGTGAGTTGAGGATTTGCAAAGCAGTACTTTCATCAACATTTTTTACAGATCCTCGGGTAAATGACTGGCCTTTCATGTCAAATCCCTGGAAGATTTGTGGACTAATTGGTTTTTACCTGTATATGATTTATGTATATTTACCCTCGTACATGGCTGATAAAAAACCATACAGTTTAAAGGGAATTATTGCCGTGTACAATGTTTTCCAAGTTTTTGCGTGTTCCACAATTATATACGGGGTAAGTGTTTCATATTTTGTTGTTCTTACTAATTATATTTCTAAAAATCTGTGGTAATTTGTTGTACTGATTTCGTCTAATTAATTATTATTCGACAGTAAAACGCTTTGCTAAAAGCATTTTTTTCGTTATTATTGTTCATTTGGGTAAATATTATAGCCATAAATATGTACCTATGTGATAGCGCGTTGTTTTGATACACTTTTTTGAACGCGTGTTATTATTTAATTACTGAAAATACGAGTACTATACATGTATAAGGATTTTAAACTTTTATTTAATTATTTACATAAGCCCTGCATCAACACACTTGTGAGTTATTTGCATGAAATGAACATTATATTTTGTTGTATAACTGCAATAGTTGAACCAAAGACCTGCGTTAAGCTGTTCCCGAAAAATACCGGGATCCCGCAGCATTTTTGCGTGATTAATCCCGCATATAAATGGAGCGGGATCCCGCGGGATTTGCGGGACTGAGGAATTTGTCGACCAAGGGGACGACTCTGTTTACTTTGCTAATAAAATGCGTAACGGAAAAGTTATTTCTAAAATAATTGTTAAAAATGTACCTACTAGGTATGATATTTGAGGCACTTTAGAAGTTCACCTTTTTTTGTGCTTTACAAATTACAGGTGAGGTTTTATTGAGTTCTAAGTTAGGCTGAAGGTACTTTTTTGTTGCATATTGTGATAATTATCGATTTATTTTAATACAGATGTTAACCGCACAAAATTGCTTATTACTTATTTAAAATTTTGCGGGAACCTGCAAATACCGGGATCCCGCGGGATTTGGTAACATCTAACGATCCCACAAATACCGGGATTAAGATTTTGCTGCGGGATTGCATTCCCTACCCGCATTCCAGTCCTTAATGCTAGTCGCGGTCGCGCTTCTATTTGTCATTTGGCCGTCTTCTTCGTCTTTGACATTGTCTTCATCTATTCTACGCCTTCGTTATTCAACACTGCTTCAATTTAACATATTAGGTATATCGAGATGGATTTTTGCATTTATGTCGAGATTTTGTGTTCTAATTAAAAACTTTCCGAATTAAAGATCAAGGATGTCCGGTGATGCAAATTTAAACAAGGAAAATGAGCCATCGATCGCCATTCGCACGGATGCGACGACTTTAGTACTTGTTTTACTTCTGCAAATATTGGCGTGGACGTTAAAATAAATCTTTGACCATATGCTTATCGAGCTGTGCATTTCACTCGCACTTGTCTATCCTAGTTGCTCATATTACAAGTACGAATGTTGAGTATCTCCACATAACATTGACTAAAAGCCCTTGAAGAGAAGTGCACATATTCAATAGCTTTAGTTAGATATGGCAGGATATAAAAATCTACAGCGGTACCCGTTATTAAATTGCAGTAGGTACTTTGAAAAGGTCGCAGCTAGAGTGAAGGTGAATAGGAGAAATTAATGTCAACGCTGTGCTCTTTATAAGTAAATATTACGACATTAGAACTTGAGAAGAACGCGAAAAGTGGTAGGAACGTAGTTCGATTAATCACACAGCTGGATAAATAACTTCACCAAGTAGTGCAAACTACTATCGCAGATTGTAGTTAATATGTGCTACTATAATAGACCATGGGTCACAACAGTAAAACCCTCCCTTCACCGTGGGAATTTCCGACACACAAAATTTGGTTGTTCTTACCATCTAGTGACCAGTTTAAGGTTTCAGTTGTTTGCCACTTGCATAATTGCATCTGTATAATTAAAGAAATCTGAGGTTTATGGCATTATTTTGTAACGTTTGCCTCGACATCAAATACTCCGATTTAAAAGTTAGTTCTTCGTATGCAATGTAAAAGGTTTAGTTGCACACACATCTGCAGCATAACCCAGAAAACGCAAAGAACAACTATATTTATGGCATTGTTTTGTTACTTAATTTCTCTTGGCTTCAACTATTCCAAAATTATTTTCGTAAGAAAGTACACATTAATGGACATTACTTTGTGTTGATATTTTCCCCCCGTATCCAATTTTCCAGTTTTCCGTAATTGGTTCTCTATATACAAATCTTAGGAAACTTTAATGAGATGAAATAGCAAGAAAATACTTCAGCTATTATCATTGCTTTAAAGAAAACCTCAAAATTCCGATTACTTCCGAAGATAAGAAGAAAAAAACTGAAATTGAAACTGAAAAATGAAATTTTCGTTTTTATATTTTTCTGATGTTATTTGAACGGATACAAAAAAATAAAAACGCTTTCTCATTTCCACTTTTTGAACTCTACGAGATACCGTGTTTTCAGTACGTTTCGATTCATCATCAATTTTATTTATTTGCTTATATGACCCATAAAAAAAGTACACAGTGTATTGAATTGCACTTTTTATTACGAATACAACGATGTATAGGACACGCAAAAAAACAAACTGTTGGTTTCAACAGGATGGTGCACCCGCGCACAACGCCCTAATCGGGGAAACTCTTAACTATTTGACGAGCTCGGCTACCTGGAACGGTAGCTTGTATTAAGTAATCTATTATATCGCACTTGTCTAAAGCAGAATCTATGAATTTTTCGAAATTGAGCCCAGAAAGGCAACCAATCCATTATATTACTGTCGTACGGTTTAAACTGAATAAGAGGTAACTTAAATTTTCGTTTAGCTGGAGCCATCTTCAAGCCTACTGGACTAGCCTTGAGACCGACCCAAGTTCGTCTACAGAGTCCAACAGCTTTCCAATCTTCATCCTGTAGATGTAAACCTTTTGGTATACAAGTAGCACTGCTCCATTTCTGTGATGATAGACTCTTCGGAGGTGTCACCTGCTAATAACAAGCTGTAAATCTCCGAGTTGATCACAGCAAGGTCTTCAATTTTGAGTTGCACTCCCAAAACACTTCTACTTCTTCGTGTATTACTGGCTTTTTCTTTAGTAAAATGTTTAATTATGTCAGTAATTTCATATGTATCTATTACTATAATTTTTTGATTAAATTTGAAAACAGACAAATCAAGGGACTTATGGAGATGATCAAGCGAACGCGCACAAATTTATTCAAAAAAAGAAAACAATCAATTTTAAGACTGTATGTATCTACTCTTTGATATTATGCACTGTTTTCAGTTAATACTCTGATGCATTATGTTGTTGTGTTAATGACCGAATAAATGACATGCCTATGTGATTAGATGCAACTAATGTTGTCATTGATATACTTAATATGAATTTTGGGAAACGTTACCACTCGCCTGCACTGCATTGCACCTGTACGCTGTTAATTCGTTTTAAATATTTAACACCACCAACTGTTTACACTTTACAATATAAACAGGTGAATTTTAAGTAATGTTTTTAATTTGTAGATGGCTACATCAGGATGGACCACCCATTATCGCATAATCGGTTGCGAGCCTGTCGATTTTTCTGAAAGTGAAATGGCGGTCCGCATGGCAAAGTTTATGTGGTGGAATATGATGTTAAAGATCGTGGATTTGTTTGAAACGGTTTTATTTGTGCTTCGAAAAAAATTCACCCAAGTTTCCTTCCTGCATGTGTACCACCATGTTTCAACTTTAACAATGGCTTGGCTGGTCTGCAAATATTTCCCAGGTAACCTTAAAATCTGAAAAATTAGCAAACTGAACACATTATTTAGGCGGATTACTTACCTTCACGCCGATGATTAACAGCCTAGTGCATATTTTTATGTACACATATTATTTTTTGGCAGCGATGTCGCCGGGTCCACAACTGCAGAAGACTTTAACATGGATCAAGCCCAAATTAACAATGGTTCAGCTTGTACAATTAGTTATTATAATAGTGCAAAATATGCAACTGTTCCTTCCAGGATGTGGCATTCACAATGTCGTTGGTTTCATATTTTTGCCAAATGTTTGTGTTAATGTCATATTTTTTCTTAATTTCTATACCAAAAGCTACAGAAACAAGAACGTATCAAAAACTAACTGAACTATATGTAAAGTAAAGCATTTCACCAAGTTTAATGCAAAATAAGTAACTTTAGAGTTACGAACTTAATTTCATTACCTATATCTAATTTTAGGGTGTATCTAAATGTAGACATTTAGGAAAAATATAGAACGATTCATTTGTCGTGTCTACTTATGTGAGGGATGTTACCTTATTCGGCAAAACCAAACAAGTTAAAAAGTCATTATGCAAACATAAATGACGGGAGCGTTTTTTCCTCCCGATAATTTTAATGCTGGGGCCGGGAAAAGGTACCCCAATTTGAAATGCTATATTGAAAACACTTTTTCTCATTAATTTTGGCGCGTAGAATCCAAAACAATTCGTACTTTTTCGATCAGACTTCTCAATCAAAAGTTATAGACTAGAAACCAATTTCGAAAAAAATTCAAAGGGCGGTAACTTTTGAACTAGAAGCCCAATCTTGGAACTGTTTGAAATTATGGATTCTACAGGCCACATTCTATAAGAAAATTTTTTTTCCGGGTCGATCTGAGACAATTTTTTTTTTGGGCTCAAAAAAAGCCTTCCTTTTTTACCAAAAATCGACTGCACCAAAATTTCTCGGGAAAACACTTTTTCTTATTAATTTTGGCGCGTAGAATCCAAAACAATTCGTACTTTTTCGATCAGACTTCTCAATCAAAATTTATAGACTAGAAACCAATTTCGAGAGAAAATTCAAAGGGCTGTAACTTTTGAACTAGTAGCCCAATCTTGGAACTGT